TTGAAAGCAGGTGCGTGAAGACGTTCTGTTGTTTTTTATGTTCGCATGTTAAATAAATCAGTATTTTAAAATGCAATATTTAATGTGTCAGACTTAAAAATAGACATAAATAAATAAAACATAAATTAAAAAAATAAAATAAAATAATATATATATATATATATATATATATATATATATATATATATATATATATATATATATATATATATATTATAAATTAATCTGACCAGTTAACTGCTAATATTCGGTTAACTAGCCGCAATTGTCGGTTGGCAAAACGAACCAAAATAAATGAGCCTCCCTAATACTCACTGATAAGATAAAGACCATATTTCTTTAATGGTTGAGTCTGTGGAGAAAAATGTATACATTATTGCAAAAAACATTTAATTATTTTACAGCTGCAGTCATTTGCATATTCATTCTGTCATTTCACTTGTTTTTAAGTATAAAAATGCTAATGAAACTTCTATTTTAATTAGGAACCAATTTCAAAGGATATTAAAAACTAATCAGAAGGTGAAAATAGGAGCAGAATAATGCCATACTACTCTATTAATAAACAACAACATGCTAATTGGATTCCAAGCCGATTCTAACAGAATCCCTCAACCAATTCTACCAAACAGTGATGAATTCAAAGAGGAATCTTTTTTCACATTCATTTAGGATGGTATTTCGGAAAGCATGCACGTGTGTGAGAACATTGCTGTTTAATCAATCTAAAGCGGGTTTCATCAAACCACAGGTTTAACAAAATGGCACACTGGGGACGCATTGGGACAAGCAGATCTCAATCAAATGAAGTACAATGGACAAGTAAAGAACACACAGAAGGAACAAGCCTAATAAAACTGAGGGAACATATAGATTGTGCATGTGTTATATAAATATTTGTCAATATTGTGGTACAGTTTTAAATTAATGTGTATTTATGGCTTCTACCGTGTATCTAAGATTGATAAGATAACCGCAAGAGGGGTCCTGGCACATTGTGTCATCTCTGTGTGTATATTTGAGGTCAGTGTTCGCTATTAAATTAATTACATGCACCTAATTAAAATGTCTTCCAGTCAGGCAATGATCTGCAAAGCTCTGTGGCTCCTTATTATAGACTATAGACATAGACTAGAGCTGACCACAAACAGCTGTTGACTGATGGAGGCCTTCTTGATGAGTGAGTGTTTGTGTGTGCTTGTGTGTTTGTGAGACTGACACAAACAGACTGTGACAGAGTGCGTGAGTAGCTATCTCATACCCGGTGTGTGTAAATCTCATGTGGCCCCAGAACAGAGACCTGAAGAAAGCCACTTTAAAAATGTATGAAAAAAAAACCTTTTTGCTCAAAGTGCAATCAATCAATCAATCAATCAATATATATATATATATATATATATATATATATATATATATATATATATATATATATATATATATATATATATATATATATATTTATTTATTTTTTTATCTAAAAAAATTCATTTAGTTTGTGTTTAAATATAATTTATTTATATAATCTACACTTCCTGACAAAAGTCTATCCAAGTTTTAGAAACAATAAATCTTAACATGACTTCTAGTTGGTCATTTGGTAACAGAAGTGGCTTATATGAAAGGCGAAGGCCTCTAGATTACGCTTGTTTTACCAAAATAAAATATGATCATGTCTTGATTTTTAGTTGTAATGCAATGTAATGTGTATTTATATAGCACATTTATCGTGTGCTTCACAATCATGAGGGGGATCTCTCCACACCACCACCAGTGTGCAGCATCCACATGGATGATGTGACGGCAGCCGCAGGAATGAATTAGGACAGTGAGGTCTGACTTTGCTTAGACAAAAGTCTTGTCACGTAATGTACAGTATAGAATATAAAGTCATGGTGCAGTGAAAGAAGCAATAATACTGTGTATAAATACCATGAGCTTCAAGGTCTTCATCCTTACATGTCTAAATTGACTCAAATAACTTATTAATAAAGTCAAAGATTTGGGGGATTTACAAAAGGGGCCTTAATTTGATGTCAAATTTTTAAAATAAAGATTTTCAAATGACAATTTAAAAAGCTGAAAATATTTAAAACTATCATTTTATCTGCGCTAAACTACAATTTTAAAATGGCATTAGTTAGTGTAAAATGTATAATATAATTATTTTTAATAATGATTTATCTTTTTTTCACATTTTTATGTTACATTTATCAGGTTTAATAATAATTAGACCTTATTTAGCAAATTACACAAGTAGAAAAGTCTTGCCACATTTTAATATTACTGTGGAAAATTAGAAGCTGGAATTTAAAGAAGCTGAATTAAATTTACAAATTAAAATTAATTTCTAGTAACAAATCTTACATGTAATTCCTCCTTGTAATAAATTTTTTTTTATAACATTTGCTTAAAATGTTGTTAACAAATATAAACAGCTTTGCACAGAAAGTAAAAAAAAAACTATTTTAATTTAATTTTCCTAGCTCTCTGCAACTCAAATGAATGCCCACTAAAGCTAAGCAGGGCTGTACCTGGTCAGAACCTGGACGGGAGACCACTTGGGAAAGCTATGTTGCTGCCGGAAGTGGTGTTAGTAAGACCAGCAGGGGGTGCTCAACCTACAGTCTGTGTGGGTCCTAACGCCCCAGTATATTGATGGGGACTCTTTTAGATGGTGGAGAATGTTTTTCGAAAAGAGATGGGATTTAACGACAGCATCCTGGCCAAATTTGCCCACTGGCCTCTGTTCATCATGGCCTCCTAACCATCCCCATATCATAATTGGCTACATCGTCTCCTGTCCACCAATCAGCTGGTGTGGTGTGCAATATGACTGTCATCGTGTCATCGACATGGATGCTGAACACTGGTGGTGGATGCGCAATATAAAAGCGATATATAAATTAAAGGAATTATTATTATTCAGGGCTCGAAATTGCGACCATTTTAGTCGCATATGCGCCCGAAATTTAAGCTATGCGACCTCATATTATATATTGGGAGCATTCGTGCGACTGCATATTATGGTTGTAGTGCGACCTGTTTTTGTTTTTTTTTTCTAAAAACGTGGTAAAAATCGCTCTTCCCTGCCGCTATATTGGTTCATATTAGCTGTCAATCACTCAAGACTTTCCGCTGTCAGATGACAGGGAGGGAGCTTTTGTGACCGCGGGGAATGCAAACGGCTGAAGAGTAAAAAGTACACTGAATCTCGATGCGTTGCATTCACTGCGTGTTCAGCCAACACCATATCACAGCAATTCATAACTTTTTCATACGTTTCCTCGTGAGATCAGGCTGCAACAGCGCAAATGTCCGCTAAAACACCATCGCCAAAGAAGCTTGCCTTTACTGAGTTTAAACTGATGCGGGTTATAACAAAGAACAGAATTGCGCCGGTGGGCATCGGGAGAATCCTGCTCTGCCCCCCTAATATTGGGGCGGCTGACTCGCATGCCTTTCCGTAAACACAGAAAAATGTAATTCAGCGCATAACAAGGCTGAGCATTAAAACGACACTAACCGAAACCAAACCTTTTAAAAGTGAGACTTTTCTTCCTTTCTTTCGTTCCTTCTTTCTTGAGGTGTATATTATTTTTCTATTTAATTACTGATGACTGCTTTGCAGCTTTTGTAGCAAAAATAGTATTTATTAAATTGACATGCGTATAAAAACAATAGTACAAAATAAATATTTCTTACTACAATGCTTCATTTGTGTTTGATGTAAACCATCAATTTATTTTTCATAAATTAACAGTAGGACTTTATATAGCAGATAACTTACGTTAAAGCACATTCAAGGCAGCATGATGATGAGAAATATAATTCATTATTAGTATTATTGTCATCATCGTCATCATTAATATTTTATAATTATTCAACATTCATTTTAGAATTATTGCACAAACATTAAGTCATCACAGCATTAGTTAGATAGTTGTTTCTGGGTTTTGTTAGTCCCAATTGATGTTGTTTTCAAATACAATAAATCCCTTAATATACAACTTGTCAAATATATCATTCATTTTTGGTGGATGCTCCTAATTTTTTTCTGGTGCTCCTAAATATTTCAGGTTGGGAGCACCGGTTCTACCAAGTCAGAAAGTTAATTTTGAGCCCTGTTATTATTATTAATTTTGCAGCAATTTTTTATCCATTGTATGGTACAGTAAGCACACAATGTCTGCTTTCTTCTGGATGAGGACTTTAAAAGAGATTCCTAATCAGCAGTGACATCATAAAAACAGCTAGAAATGCCCTTTACATTGATCAACAAAAATAAATCTTTCCGCTAAGACAGAAACACAATTCTCTGAATTCAGCTTTCAGACAGCCATTCATTGCATAATAAAAGACTACTTGCATTGTTTTCCTCTGTGAAAGTCCATTTCTTCACTATAGCGTATGTGGTCAAGCTGACACACAGCCCAAGTGTCTGTTTTTTCTGTATACCTCTAAATGTGGCCTTTACCACTTTGGCCACTATTTGACAGGAAGTCAAGTGAAACCAGGAAGGTCACCTCTTTACATGCACAATAAATCAATAGAGATTCAGAGGCAGAAGACACAAAAAGCTGAGAGAAGTGGAAAGTGTACATGTGCGCTTGCGTGTGCATATCCAAGGTCACCCTGGCAAAGCTGGGTTAGCATTAGAGCTCACGCTAGCAGGGCGCTCATTACGTTGGGTTATTTATGAACCTCCCCCCCACAACTCTCAGACTTTAATAATTCAAACAGCACAGCCCTGCACTCCCATGAGACCCTGCTCCCACAAGCCGGAGGTGAGGGCCATTAATCAAATGCTGATCCCCCCCCCACACCCCTCCCTCTTTTCTCTCTTTCTCTCCCATCACATTTTCTCCATCACATCTCGGCTTGTTTTAGATTACAACGGTTGGGACGGAAACACATGTAAGGGAAGATTTCGTAATTTAGATGTCAACCTTGTGCGGAGGTATTTAGTCGGCCACACACAAACAGAAGATGAGTGTTTTTACCATGGCGGCTGGAGGGTTGCTAGTCGCGGTGTGTCTGTGAAGGTGTGTGTGCGCGCGGTGGAGACGGGGGTCTCGGGACACCCTCTCCTCATGCGCTCGCCTCTCTGCCCCCCCGCTGCGCCCTACTGCACCAAACCTGCAAAGCAGACAGAGAACAATGGTCATTACAGCATTATCAGCAGGCATACTTTAATATATCTTTAAAGCAATTTATAGCAAAAACAGAATATACAAAATATACATAACACAAAACAATGTTTACAAAAAAAATATATATATATATAATACAAAATATAATAATAATATTATAATAAAAAATAATAATAATAGCAACTTTTAACTAGCGCTAAGCAAAATATGTATGGCAATTAATTATTTAGGCCTATATTGAACGTGATTATAAGTGAAAGTCATCTGAATGCAAAACACACACACAGATACAGGCAAATAACCATATTATTTGTGGATCAAGCATTAAACTGTCAAATTTTACCTCACTCAATCCCTTCTTATCTGGCCAAATGTCTTCAAATGTGTATTAATGCAACTACAATAAGTATGTTTCTTTATTAATATATTTATTATGTATATAGAAGTACAAACATGCATGCATAAATTTGAGAAAATGTTTATTTATGTTTAGATTTAAAACATACAGTGCATCCGGAAAGCATTCATAGTGTTTCACTTTTTCCACATCTATTTATGTGACAGCCTTATTCCAAAATGAACTAAATTCATTTATTTCCTCAAAATTCTACACACACTACCCCATAATGACAATATGAAAGATCTTTTGAGATTGTTGCAAATTTATTAAAAATAAAAACCTGAAAAATCACATGTACATCAGTATTCACAGCCTTTGCTGTAAAGCTCTACATTGAGCTCAGGTAGATTCTGTTTTCATTGATCAATTTTAAGAGATATTTTAGCAACTTAATTGAAGATCACCTGTGTTAAATTCTGTTGATTGGACATGATTTGAAAAGGCATACACCTGTCTATATAAGGTTGCAGGTTTGACAGTGCATGTCAAAGCACAAACCAAGCATGGGGTCAAAGGAATTGTCTGTATACCTCTGAGACAAGATTGTCTCAAGGCACAAAGCTGGGGAATTTCTGCCACTCTGAAAGTTCCAATGAGCACAGTGGCCTCCATCATCTGTAAATGAAAGATGTTTGAAACCAAGAGGACTCTTCCTAGAGCTGGCCAGCCATCCAAGCCGAGTGGTCTCGGAGGTGATCAATAAACCGATAGTCAAACTTACAGAAGGACAACTATCTGTGCAGCAATCCACCAATCAGGCCTGTATGGTAGAGTGGCCAGACCGAAGCCACTCCTCACCTGGAATTTGCCAAAAGGAATACCAGAGCTCTTGAACTCTTTGGAGAGAATGCCAGCCTTTACCTTTGGAGAAAACCAGGCACCGCTCATCGCCAGGCTAATACCATCCCTACAGAGAAGCATGGTGGTGGCAGCATCATGCTATGGGAATGTTTTTCAGCAACAAGAACTGGAGGACTAGTCAGGATAGAGGGAAAGATGAATGCAGCAATGTACAGAGACATCATGAATGAAAACCTGCTTCAGAGTGCTATTGAGCTTAGACTGGGGCGACGGTTCATTTTCCAGCAGGACAATGACCTAAAGCACACCGCCAAAATATCAATGGAGTGGCTTCACAACAACTTGGTGAATGTCCTTGAGTGGCCCAGCCTAGAGCCCAGACCTAAATCCAACTGAACATCTCTGGAGAGATGTGAAAATGGCTGTACACAGTCACTTTCCATCCAACCTGATAGAGCTAATAATGGGCAAAAATTCCCAAAGACAGGTGTGTCAAGCTTGTGACATCATAAACAAAAACACTTGAGGCTGTAATTGTTGCCAAAGGTACATCAACAAAATATTAAGCAAAGGCTGTAAATACTGATGTACATGTGACTTTTAAGTTTGTTTGTTTTTTAAATAAATTTGCAACAATTTCAAAAAATCTTTTTCACATTGTCATTATGGGGTATTGTGTGTAGAATTCTGAGGAAATAAATGAATTTAATCCATTTTGGAATAAGGCTGTAACAAAAAACAAAAAAATATGGGAAAAGTAAAGCGCTATGAATACTTTCCGGATGCACTGTTTATCAAAATAAAATAGTACGGCAGAATAGCATGCATACTTATAGCATTATTTTAAGATGAATAAACTGCACTGAAATCAAGGGGACTGACTGTGTGGCATCACAAACCCTCACCCCCCACACTTCCCTCAGGAGGTATCAGTGACTCTTTTGTGTGAAAATGAGCAATGCAGTATATGGACGTTATACATATTTCATGATCTGGGTGCTGCTGCACAACTAAGATGCGGCTCATTGTTTTGCTTATTTCACAGGGAAGTGTTTGCATGTGTCCTTGTTTTATAGCACACTTATCCGGGCCCATTTATGAGGCTTATCTCACAAAGTGCTTTCTCTGCTTATGTTAAACATGATTATAAGTGAAAGGCATCTGAATGCATAAAGCACACACCCAGAGAAATACAGGCAAATAATCATATAATTTGTGGATCATGCATTGAACTGTCAAATTTTACCTCACTTAATCCCTTCTTAGCTGGCCAAATGTTTTCTGTGTATTAATGCTATATCCCCGGAATATAATTTCATTCTCTGGATTATGGCATTAGGGCTGAACAGATGTACTCTCAAAAAAAGATTTCAGGCCAAAAATGTGAAATAATCATAATAAATCCCAAAACATGTAAAGCAATAAAGCAAAACATTTGTTTTCCATGAACAAAATTGGATGTAATCAGACAAAACATTTGAATAATAGGGTGTTTAATATCCCCTGAGATCTTTTTTTTTTTTTTTTGCTTATGAGTATTACAAAACAATCAATGTTTTAAACAAGGTAGAAAAAAATCTAAAAGTAAGCAAAAACAGTCAGATTACAGTACATTTAATGACAATGGATTTAAATTTCAAAGTAATCTATCCAGCACTGCTGGCAAGTGACATGCTGTAATCTGTTGATTGTCTGAGTCTATTGGCATCTGTCGGAGCAGTCAGAATTGGCTTTAACCGTGTGGTTTCTGTTATATTATGTGTGGTTGAGTGTTTCGATGCTATTGAGACTTGTTTTAAAATGGTCTTCAACATGTTGTTTTGTTTGTTTGATAAGTTTAATTAGAGGATGCCCAGTAAATATACAGTAAATAGTTTTTTGAGATGACTTGTTTGATGAGTTTGATTCTGACTGTCTTAAGGTGCTGTCTTAAGCATGGTACAGCTCAGTTCAGTTTGATATGGCACAATTTAGGTGGCTTTACACTGTAAAATACACTGTAAAAATTATCTGTTAATTAAAAGTTTCCATATTTTGTGTTTCACAAGTGTTTTCTAATTATTAACGGATATGAATTGCATTATAAGACCCGGATCTCTGCTCTGTTGGCTTTTGATGTTGAAAATTTAAAGTGACTTTTATTGACATTATAGTAGTTTGAAATAATCTAATGTATAAGAAATAATATATAGAGAAATAAATCTGTAAAATAGCAGAAAATGTACTGGCAGTTTATTACAAGGTTGTTGTACTGTAATATGCAACACCAAGCCAGATAATATCACTTGAAACTTTTAAAATGCTAATAAAAGTTACCTTTTTTTATATGGTTCAAGGGTAAAAGTTGTCTCGTAATGCAATTCAAAAGAATAAATAAATGGGGAAAAATAAAAATAAAACATGAATCAAAAAATACAAAAAACTGCTAATTTATGGATATTTTTTGCAGTGTACCAAACAATACTTAACATTACCAATAAATATACATATACACAACGCTGATAACTGATTGGTCCAAGACAATAGTCACCACTAGCATCATTGCACTCCAAACTTGTAATATTCAAATAGTCAGAAGCAGCCACTGTTGTAATGTTTATTCACACTACTAAAACAATTTATACCACCAAGAGAAAAAAAAAAAATTGGACAGAAGAAAAGGTCTAAACTTGGTGCTGGAGGGGACGGTGTCCTGCAAAGTTTAGTTCCAACCCGTAATCAAACAGACCTGCCTATACATTCATATAGTGAACTTGAAGACACTGATTAGCATGTTCAAGTATGTTTGATTATTGTAGAGCAAAACTCTGCAGGGACACTGGCCCTTGAGGACCGAGTTTCCAATCTCAAGTCTAGATAAATTTATGTGTTTATTTAGATCCCTATTAGCCACTACTAATGTAGCAATTCTTCCTTGGGTTTAATAAATGGAATAACAAATGTAATCAAATCATTATTAAAAAAAAAAAAACAATAAATTAAAACAACAGAAACAAATACCAAAATCAAAAAGGATAAATTAGCATTAAACAACAACAATAGACACCAATATAAAGATCTGCACGAGACAGGTTTTATTCCGCACCCGACTGTTCCCGTCAAACTTAGATCTGGTTTACAAAATCTCATGGTAAAAATTGGTACTACCAAAAGAGAGAGATTACAGATAAAAGTGTGGGTTGTGCAAGGATTGTGGGCTAAATGTCAGTTTTGTTTGACTTTTTGTGATGAGACATAAATGTCGCGTGACGTGCTGTGAGGTTTGTGGCTGGTGAGGCACTGACTCTTTCAAAGTCAGATTTACAAACATTTAAATCAATATATCTGCCAACTAACCGATTGCGTTTCATATATGATATCAGCATTATTTCTATACACATAGCATGTACATATTGGGCCAAGGAATAATGTAAAATGCAGTGTTTTTTTTCCAGCTGTGGCGGCAGGCCTTTTTTTTTTACACAGATCTTCCAACTACCTATGGCGTTATTTCAATGACAAATGTCGTGAGGGCAGCATTACAAGTCGAAATCGCATTCATGTAATACGAGCATGCAAATCTCTTTGCATGTGCGCGGATTTCCTCTGTTCATGCACAAAATTTCTTGCACACCCTCAAACATATGCTGCTCAAGTGCATTTTTTTGCGCGCCCTCAAATAAACACTGTTGAAGTGCGATTTAGTGCATTTTTGTAAAGAGTATGTCTCCAACATTTATTAGATTTGCAAGGAATATTTATGAATGTCTCCAATAGACCTACAGCAGCATTGATGCATCCTGAAG